AGCAGCAGCAGCAGCAGTCGTAGTACAGAGCAGTGGGAGGGGTGGGGGTTGGGTTCGTATGTTCCGAAATCAAAGCGCATGCGGCTCTGGATGGGGGGATGGTTCGCAGGCGGGGGCGCAGCCCCCCCCCACCCTCCACCTTCCCAAATTCATCACAGCAATAATAATGACAATATGATCGCAATTTTCGTATGGTCGTAATAGTGACAATAATAGTAATCATCGCAATAACAAGAATCGTAATGATAGTAATAATTTTCTTTAACTAGTATATTGCTATGGTAGCAATAATTGTTACCGTAGTCAGAATAGAGATAAAAATAATCTTAGTAGTTATAATAGTAAAAGTAGGTGTCTGTTGATCCTTTTCGTGTTCTTGGATCAGACTCCAAAGGAAGGCGGGGCGGTTCTCATTGCGAAGCGAGCATTGTTTGTTTCGGGCGTAGGCTGCGACTGTGATTCACTGCAACAGTACTAGAACGGAACACAGGTAGCAGGGCAGTGCAGCAGGGAAGCCAGCAAGGAAACAACAGCGTCGGAGGGGAACAGCTGGAAGTGACTTGGTCTATAATCGCATGCGCAACTAGCAGCACCCCCAGCGGGCTCTGGGGCGCCTGAGCCTGAGATTCTGCCAACCCACTGGCACAGGAACCCACCGGCAGAGACTCTGAAGCTCGAAGGCTTTTCGAGGATTCAATGCCCATGCTTCGGCCGTGCGACGCTTTCGCAGCTGCTGCCTCCTTTGCAGCAATCGCTGCAGCCTCTTTGGCTTTTCTGGCTTCCTCCTCCAACACCTGCCCCGCATTGCCCCGCATCTCGCGGCTGAAAGTTTGAGGGACGTTCGAGCATGCAATGGATGCTTTCGGAAGGAACAAGGCCTTGGGATCCATCTTTGCCATCATATCCTGGAAGGCGCTTCGTCAGCACTCCATCAACAGAATGTCTGTAAGCTCAGGCAAGTGTCTAAGAAGCTGCCATCACTTCCAAACCTCAGAAACCGGACATGATCCGATCGATCCTGCGCTTCCTCGACCAAAGCGACTCAGCTCCCCGCTTGTTGATGCCGTCTGCTTCTTTTTTCAGCTGCTGGCTCTTTGCTTTTGCATCCTTCCTCTTTTGCCGCTTAGCACCTGAGGCACAGCGTTCTGGGCCGGTGACTGGCCTGCAACATTCGGTTCGTCAGCTAAGATGTGGCACGCTTCTTCTCTGTGGCCGCTTCATCTGCAGCTATCGCTGCTTCTCTTTTTGCCTGGAACTCTGTCGCCTGTGCAAAGTAGCCAGATGGTTGGCGACATCGTCGTAGAAAACTAGAAGGCTAGGAAAGCGAAACTCCTGGCCTCTTCCAGCGCGGCGTGGTCTTTGTCCATCCTCATCTCTCATCGTAAGAGTAATCAATTTTCGACGAAAAAGGATCCCCAGAATGCTGCATGGTTCTAGGTGCTTCCAAGTGTCTTTTCTAATCTGGCCTTGTTTGCAACATACGGAACATAAGTCAAGAGTGCAGGTCGCCAAACGAAAGTGTCAGCATCAGCCACCGACAACAGTGACCCCAGACTCGACAACCCGCTGAGAGAGCTGCCAGCTCAATCCTCCGATGTTTGTTATAGATCGGAATGGAGCAACTCCCTGATCCGGCGCTACTGCCGTATGTGTTCCAGACCTCCCGCGCACGGCAGGTACAGAATGGAGAAAGCTCAGAATGGCAGATGTGCCTTCTCAAACTCCGGCCGCGTCTTGACCACTGGCAGCCTTGTGCCACGGCATACCGTTCAACTTCCCCTTACCCCGTCTCCGTGCACGCTTGCTGGCCGGCTCAGAAGGGCAAGGTGTATTTCTTGCGGACAAGGGTCGCATCGCTCGGAGAAGTCTTGACCTGGGTCTGGCATAACTCTCACGTGCTTCCACCACTTCGTTCTGGGTCCAACTTGGAGTTCCCGGCGAGACCTGCAAAAGCCCTGGGAGCCCAACCACTGCAAGAAGAGATACGCAAGCTACTACGTCTCTCGCATCGCAAGCCCAAAATTGAGGCTTGGCGCTGTAATCTTGTCTGCCGGCCCTGAACCTCGAATTGCCACCGCTTGCACATTGGCTTTCGAGGGTGCGATGGCCTGCCGAGGGTACATGTCATGAAAGATAGAGCATCTGCCACTGTCGATCGAGAAGGTGGACCCAAGGACGACCGGCTCTCCCGATAAGGACCAAAACAAACAGCGCATCGGATGTTTATCGTTATGGAGACCGGGCTCTGGAGTGAAGAAACTCCACACAATGTGGCATCTTACAAGTGGCCCTCAGCCTTGGCCATGCACTCATCTGCCCACCTGAGTTTCGACAAGTTTGCAGTTCAGTACTCTACGACCAAAACCTGCTATAATCGGCAGAGGAATTGGCAGGCATCCATGTCCCGGTTTTCGATAGCCGAGCTGCGCATTGCTAGCCGCCAGCGAGCATTTGTTAATCTCCTCCATGGTCATCCCGGCTTCGATCGCCAGCATGGCTGCCTCAATGGTCCCGTGTGACAGCACCATAGAGTGAAACCGCTTTGTCTCGAGGCGTCTTCTGCATCCAAGCATCGACAGCCTCTAAGTACAGAGGCGAGGCCCATACACAAAGTCTAATTGTCTAAAAGTACACCACTGACTGAGCCAAGGCAATTGGATGCATAATCCATGCACCGATGCGAAACACTGAAGCCACGAGCAAATCTCGAACTCCGCAGACAAAGCAGACAAAGGCCCGCCAAGCAACATCTGCAATCGCCGCCCCAAACATCAACTTCTACACAAGTGAACCAGGTGGCTGCTGGCGTTTTTGTGGCCGGCGTGTGTTGTCCTTGATTAAACCCGGATCCTTTGCGAGATCACGATCCTTGAGGCTGACAGCCTTCGAAATGCAAGCGCTCTATCCCAGAACATCGAGGCACCAACTGCGGCGAGGTTTTGGCACTGCGGCCATGGGACTTTTCCGTAAGACCTGGCGCATTGAGCACTCGTAGTGCGTGCATACTTGCATTTATGTAGTGCTGTCAGCATTGCTGGACATGGAGCAATCCCCGTGTCTCGCTGAGCCAAGGTTCTTATCGGCAGCCCACACCCCTCGTCTTCGGCGGCGATTGCAAAAAGCAATGAAGAAACGCTTCCACAACACAAGTTTCCGAAGAAGTCTATACGCACACCTACTCCAAGGGTGCCACAAAACCAAGGCCGCAATAACATCACCCAAAACGAATCATCCCTCCGCCTCGGCTCTTGGCGGCTCAACCAAGCCACCAGCCATGCGCCGATGGTGACTTGGACATAGCAGGGGTCGCAGGGGTTCGGGGCACAGCTGAGTACAGTAGCTCTTTGGAATGTCCAAATATCTGAGGATTGCACTCAGCCAAAAGAATGCTCCGGTCTCGGCGTAAGGGTAAGCTTGGTCAGGGTCTTCGCTTCTTCCATTGCGCTGGACATGCTTGGACTGGTGGTCCGAGCACCGGACACTCGGCGACCGCACTCTTCAAATCAAACCTCTCCTGTGCAAAGAACAAATCTTGGTGTCACATTTACGGTTGCGTGGAGCCCTTGCTGCGTGGGGGTCCAGCTGCGCGCGAGCCAAGTGGGGGTGGTCTGAAATGGGAGCTGGCCTGGCAAGTCTTTAATCCACGACATTGAATTGTCGTTGGCTTAGCAGCACTGCTCACTTGCTGGTTGACACTATATTCGGGTGCGAGTCGGGCTTCCTGAGGCCACGACATGTTTCGGGCAGTGCTGCCTGGCGCCGCTTGGGAGTAGAGCTCTAAGTACAGTCTGTCTGCCAGGCAGTGGGATCGCACGGCAGTGGGTGTCGATTTGCAAACCGTCATGATCGTGGAATGACGTCAGGGTTATGTCAGTAGTACAGCCTTGCCCTGGAACCCTTTGTCCCTGTTCCGCTTAGCCGTTCGCATCGGGTCCCGAAAGATACAGTAACGTGTTGAACAATTAACATTAACATGACAGCAATGTGCTAAGCACTTTTTCACCTTCGTTTCGCTCCCTCGTGTACACCTCATCTCGTCGCCTGCGGTGCCATGCCAGCTGCTGGCAGTGGCCATGAGGACTCAACACACCCTCCGACCTGACCAAGTCCTATAGCTGTTCATATGCTGTTCATTCCCTTTCACTGGCTGGGGTGGACGGTTGCCTCAATCACTTGGGCATCAGGTACCCAGGCAATCGCCCTGCGGATTCAATAGCTTATATGGCTTATGCAATTACATGAATTTGAATAATTGTCATCCTTACACTCTGACATGCAGAGTCTTGCACAATACATTGATAGGGCTTCAGGGATGGTCGGCCATGGATCACGTCTGCAGGTCTCTGGGCCAACACAGAATGCGGCACCTTGTTGCCGGCGGTAGCTATGTTCAGGGGCCAGAGAAGTTCAAAGAAAATTGGCAGACCAACAGTCGGCGTTCCCTGCCACAGCCGCATGCATAGCAGAATTCCTGATCCCCCCTATTTTATGCCTGCTACCGCTGCTACCGCAGGCCGCGGGGCCAGGCAGGCTCGGCTTAGGAGCTTCGGGGCCGGCGCCGTGGATGCCCTCTCCAGCTGCGGAAAGCTCCAGACTAGCGCACCTATGTCTGCGGCCAGAAGCTGGGCTGCTGTGACGTGCGCGACATCTGCATGCACTTCACAACGCTTGCGACGACAGAAAGGCAACACAGGCCAATTAATTTTGCAGCGCGCTACAACAGCTAATGAGGCTATTTGCTTCGAAACTCTCCCAACGAATTGGCTCACGAAGGGATGGTAGAAGTAGCTCTGCTAGCCAGAGGTCAGCAGCAAATCCGCCATGCTGCGGTTTGATGACCTGCAGATGCTTCAACTGCAATCACTTGCAGCATCCACATGAAGATCAATTCTGCGATCAGGCACCACGCTACTGGTGGCTTTGGAATGTGCCTTTGGCCCCCACTTAGCAGACTTAACAAGGGCAACACCCACATTGCAGGGTGGTGCATGATGGATTGGCGAATAGGGTTTGAATGGGGTTGTCGCAAACTAATCATTGGTCTCGTTTGGTCCGATCGGCTTGAATGGATACAGCAATCCTTCAACCTGTCCCAGAACCCGCAACAAACGGAGTCGAAATGATAAGACATTTATTCCACGCAGTTGTTTCCTGTTAAGCGGCGGCTGCTGCTGCTGATGCTGCTGCTACGACAACCACCACCACCATCACTACAACGAACACTCCTTCCATTCCTAAAACCCCCGGCACCCCGCATTATGGCACCAACCCCATATTAACTATTATGTTTACTTGAAAAGAGCCTGTGCTGGATCCCGGCTAAAACCGGCTTTTCTTTGGGGTTGCATGGGGTTTGAGTAGTCAAGTCAAGGCCGACATTCGCTCGATGCGTTGATGCTGCGCACAGGTGTAACCTTCATCGGGGGCCGGGCAGTCTGCTTCCAGATCCACGACGAGGCATCTCCTGCACGCGGACGGAGAGGTTTTGTGACAACAAGGCACAGACAGCGCTCGCATGGGGGAGAGGTCCGAGGCAGTCGGCTTTGGCAGGAGGTTGTGCCTCGGGCAGATCGCTAATGACCTGCTGCACTTGCTCTTCTGAAGCCCTGTGGAAAGCTGAGGCTGCTTCTTCTGGTTAGGCCCCATAAACTCCTTCCGCAGTGCCTCCTGATGAAAGGAGGGCAGCCTGCAATCATGAGTGAAGTCATTGAGCATCTTCTTGTTTCGGGTTGCAGATTATGCATTTTCTGTCTCTGCCCCTGCCATCCCTGCCCCATACATAATGATTGCATCCCTCTGTCCCTGAAAATCTCTCTGGCGCCACGTCGCAGATCTAAGTAGATGGAACTACTGTGACAAATTTCTACACCTTCAGCAGAACAGCAGCAGCTCTTTTATCTGCCGACTCCGTTGTGGGCCCTTAAAGGCTCCACGAAGGTGGCCGGTGCTTGAGTCAGCTTGGACATCTTCGCACGATGTCCATACCACTGGAGGCTCATTTAAGGCTTCAGCGGCGCTTTGAAGGCAAACGTCTTAGTCCGGGTCAGTTCACTCAAATGCCGGCTCTTTGCGACAATATGCCTGTGCACCGTAAGCCGTGCCTCCAAAGCGCACGCGAGCTGCACACTACGAACATTAAATCGATTCTACCAGTAGTTGGCTTGATCATAGGTGTGGTCACCATCAGGGGCTTTCAAGCGCTAGGGCAGCTAGGGCGACCTGCCAACATGTTCACCCCTCGGTGGGATGTTTGTTCACGGGCACTTGCCCGTAAGTAAAGCCTCTGTGAAAGGCTCGTGCCACTAGGACCTACTCTCCAGCTGCACCTCAGACAGTGTCAAGTCATCAGCCCGCGCTGGGGGAGGATCCCAACAAGCACCAGGAATGCCGCTGCTTCTGGTATCGCAGCACCTCAGGCTCAAGAATCGGAGGCATCTGAAGATGGGCACAATAAAAATCATTGCGGCCGAAGTGCTCGACGCAGCAGCTGCCCAGCACTGGCGCCAGGGCAGTCAGAATGAGTGTCAGTCGTGCCCACCACCGGACATCTGGGTTGCCTGGAGTAGCCCCGAAGCACTCTTTGCGCCATGCACGAATTGATGCACAATGCAATCAAGTCTTGTCTTTCTGCTGTCCAGACAATACAAGCTGAGGGGCAATTACTATCAGTAGTGTGGGCGAACATGTAGGCGCCCACGATCAAAAGAACAAGCGTCGGCAGCACCAGGCACGTGTTCACCTTGGACGGCATCTCTGGTGAATCGTGTCTCGATGCATCTTTGACGAGCGTCGCGGTTTCTGGTAGCTGCAGATGACACTCGTTTCTGAAATCTTGCCAGGGGCGTGGTGAGCACATGCCCCAAGCGTCTCCTACAGCCGCAGGTCGTTCCCTCAATGCGATAGCGCAGTGATTCGGAGCAGTCCTCTTTAGCAACGTCCACCGGGTACTCTGATTGTTCTGCGCGGGCTTTTTGTCTGAGGCCTTAGCCATGCGTCGCAGCCAGCCCCCGGCTCGAATTGATGAATAATTCCCCCAATACCAAAGGCCGCGCGAGCATATGCCACAACCTCTGAGTCCATGCCGAGGCAGAGCATGAAGAAGCCTCGCACAACCACGGAAGAGTCTACAAGACTACCATCAGCAACAGCCTTAAATGTTGTGCCTGGCACCAACGAAAGGATCAAGCCGTGAATGAAGAGCCACGTCACGAGCGGTTGCCGACACTCGGCATCCCACCTGCATCTCTGTAATGATACAAGTCGTTGAGTTCCGTTCCCAAAAGCTTACTGGTCCTTGCTTCTGCAGAAAGACAACAATTTCCAAGTTGCTTCGCGAGAGGCTCAGCCAGAGCGGAGCACAGGGCAACGGCAGCTGGAATGGTGAGCAAGCCAGAAACCAGCCCGGCACCACCGAGGACACCAACCTGGACAAAGAGATGCACGCTTAAAGAAAGCAACGTGCGATGGAAACCGAGCACATAGCGGCAAAGTGTTCATTCAAGCAGCCACATAGTTGCAAAGTGCGACGGGCATCACGCACTGGGTCAAGAGAATGACTGCTACTTTTATCCTCGGCTTCGGTTGCTCAATGTTCCACACTCTCCGGCTCCGAAGATGAGCTTCACCCTTGCAATACTTAGCGTGCCCATGCAAACCAAGCCTCCTTAATTCTTCGCATGGTAGGAGCACGATAGGAGTGATGCCTGTTCCAGTGGTCGTGGTTGTTGTTGTGCTTGTTGTTGTGGTAGTCGTTGATGTTGTCGGCACATCAGGGTGGTAATAAGTCACCTTGGAGATCAACAAACTCCCACGAACGGAGATTCAGCTTCAAACTGAGCGGCATCGCGCTTAGTGAGCCAGACTTTCACAACATGCTGCTGCAAGCACATGATGCTCCGGTTAGGTGGTCTTTCAGCAGCCAGTTCTCAGAAAATCGAACAATTGCCCTCGCCCGGTGAAACGATTTATAGGATACCTGGCTGAAGTTACCGTTGTGGGGCTATTGGCCGCGCACTCGGGGTGTCGAGGAGGCAGCCGTTCATGTGCACACTGTCTGTCTCAACCGGCAAACCCAGGAAATCACATGCCGTAATTCAGCTTTCCCGTCACCGGTACGGGGGCCAGGCCCCCATATCCAGTTGGCCAGTGGAAGCCTTCAAATCTTTGTCCAAGACGATCCCACCTCGTAGCATCCAGAACTTGCCCTGCACCAAAAGGCTTCTCTAGAGGTAGTTACGAATTTTTTGGTTGCTGACACACCCGACAGTTGCACCATGCAAAGATCATCCAGTGCCAGATTGGCAGGGCAGCCTCACCTTCCATGTCCAACTCTTGAATTCACTGTCGGCATCCTTGCCATATCATGCGGTGAGTAGGTTGGCAGGCTTCCCTTATCCTGTCAGCATTGTCAATTCGCCGTCGGCTTGTGCTCCTCGCCAGCATGTGGCAGCTATCGTCGTGCCGATTCCTGCCTTCAATTACGACGGTCAGCTGTTCCGCGAGCTCGCCGAAACTCAACAAGTGCACAGAATCACAATACCACAGCAGGTTTGAAGCTCCCGTTGAAGCATTCAGTCACGCAGCCGGTCCCAAGTTGTCCCAATGGTCAAGCAGTCCATGTACCCATGTTCCACAGCATTGCTTGCATAATCCGAGGATGGGAAATAAAAAAGGTCTCAAATCTAAAAATTTAAGTATTTCGGCCCGGGTTGGGTCTGAAAAACTACTTTCAATTGTGGCTGGATTTCGTCTCCCGAAAAGGTACCATATTTAAAGAAAAAGGTTCCGGTGGCAAAGAAATTCGGAGCTGCAAATTCTCTCCAATGTCTCTTTTCTGCATCCGGAGCTAATCGATCTCTTGTCTGCCAGGGCAAAAGCCACTTCTGTGAGACGAATCTGTCGCTGCTTTCATAAAGAAACAAGGCTGTTTTCCGAAGAAGGCCTTGCCTTTCGGCAGAGGCAAAGGCTGTCTTCCGGAGCCAAACATTTTCCAAAAGCTGAGGCCCTTCAGAAAGCTAGGCTGCCTCATTAAAGGCGTAGTAAAAGGAAGCTATTTTTCAGTCCTGAGCTACCCTTACGGGGCCTGCCGGGCTGCAGCCCGAATCGGATTAATAAATGGGACTACATTTGTGGCAAGCCTCCGAGCCAGCCCGGCTGTCGCTGCAGTCTTTGCTTTTTGTTCGCTTGCTGTTTTCCTTTAGAAGCAAGGCTGCTTTCCGAAGCAGGCCTTGCCTTTCCGCAGAGGCAAAGGCTGTCTTCCGGAGCCAAGCTTGTTCCAAAGGCTGAAGCCTTTTCAGAAAGCCAGGCTGTTTTATTAAAGGCGCCATTAATGAGTCGAAGGAAGCTATTTTTCAGTCCTTCTTGAGCTCCCCCTTACAGGCCTGCCGGGCAGCAGCCCGAACCGGATTTACAAATGGGAAAGCCTATAAATGGTTTTGTAGTCGAGATTCAATACATTGTTGTTAATTTTAAAAGAGCCCAAGGAGCCCGAATGGAGTTTTGTCCATACATCAACCATTTTCATTAATGGGGTTCCCGCCATCCTTATTCTGGGGGGGAGCGGGGGGTGGCCCCCCTTACTATCCCCCGTCGGAAATTGCTTCAACCCTAGGGCCCGGGAAAGCAGCCCGCGGGCGGGGTCTGAAATCCTTAGCACCTGGTTGTTTTCCTTGGGCCCTGGCAGGCAATGCGGCGGGAAATGCGGAAGGAAAAAAGCCGGCTGTTTTCCATGGCCCCCTCCCAGCGAACAGGTAGTTCAGGAGCGGTGTTGGCACGAGGGAATGGGCCTGCAAGGTGCAGAGAACCGTCCCCCCCTCTGCCGGTGCTGCAGAGGAGTAGGTCTTGCAGTTGCCAGGTCACGGTCAAGGCTGTGGGTATCGCGGACTTTACCTTCTCGGTTATGGCAAGTGTCCTAAAACCTCCCCCGAAAAGGCCACTTGAGCCAAAATAAAATGGCTACCTCTCTTTCTCTCTCTCGGGTCTCGCCCTAGGGTGCCCCTTGATTATCTCGATTGTTCTGCTGTTCTCTCTCTGATCTGCATCTTTCTTATATTTCTCTGAAAGAGACAGAGGGCAGGGTCACGGTTGGATTCTTGAAAAAGGTAGAAGCCGTCGAGGCCCCGGCACCGGGGTAACCGACTGTGCTGGCTGTTTTCCCTGGCCCCTCCGCGATCATACCAAATTCCGAGGGCTGTTTTCCTTGATTTGTGGCTGGATATTGGCCCCTAGGGCCAAGCAAGAAAGCCAGCCAAAAGGAGGGGGAATCCTTACTATTTAGATGCTAGGATTACGCAGTGCCCACGCTCTCGAAGTTAGTCAGTTAGTGCTCACGACGGTGGTTGAGGGGACAGACCGGTGGCAGGGAGATCACATAAAGCAGAGCCGCGTCAGGTGATGTCGCATGGTTGCATGTGCTCAAGGGGTTCTTCTGCACACGTTCTGAACATGGTATGCACAGTCCTTCCGCCACCTGGTCAAGGGTTTTACGCTCTCATCTTTCAGCTTCTTGTTTTTCGTGTCGGTTGCTCATCTACGCGGGGCGCCCTCCGTGCTGGGACGGTTTTGTGGTGGGCTTGTGTGGCTTGTGCTGCTCAAGTTTGGGTTTCGGTGCTCACCCTCGGACGAACCAGTGGAGGTTATTGGTGCTCAGTCGAGCAAACTGCACTAAAGGACCAGTTTAGACCAGGGAGGGTGAGGCTTGAGGCTCTCATGGTCTGCGCATCCTGTGGTATGGTGGCGAGGCTTTACGTTTAAAGCGAAGAACACGGAGCCATGTTTTCTGAAACTAACACTTGTTTGCTTCAGGTAAGGCTTGATACGTCGGGCAGACAATTCAGAACTGAGGGCTGTCAATGTAGGCTGCTAAACATGCCAAAAACATTAATACAAGTATACAGCTACAGTCCAAATGAAGTCAAATACAGGTCACGAAGGCAAAGCTCAAATGCAATGACCACACCGACTATATGACATGTGCGGCCTATGCAAGCATGCAGCATGCGAGCATAACTATAGGTGGCCATGAATTGCTCGCCCTCTCGACCACCACGGATAGCCGATATTGTGCAAGCACTGTGTATAAAGTGTAAAGTACGCAATTCCAATTCTGAAGCCGGGATTTCTGGATCTGCTGATCGACAAGGTGGGATTTCTAGCTGTGCTGAACGACAAGGCTCATCCCCATATCCCAACCAGCCTAGCTGCTAGAAATCACGCCCTCATGCAATAAACAGGTTCACGCATTTGCACATTTCTCGTTCCACCCTCGTCTCTGCCTCTACATCGACCCGACCCCATCTAAGCACCAACTGTGTTTCTTGCACGTCCAAGAAGCCGCACCCCAGACCACAAGCGCCAAGGCCGGCAGCCACAAACACTTGTTCAGGCCCTGCACAGTTCGGACTAACTGGCTTTGGATAGCTTGCTCGTTCATGCAGCCGGTCCAGCCGGTATGATGACTTTCCTTGCCTGCCTGCGCCTGCCCACAGCAGACTAAAGAGTAAAGCCCAGGTATACTCATGACCATCACCTTTGCTTGGCAGGCGGCTACAGAATCTCAGGCCAAAGTGTGCGATTTGTCCATGCTGCCCTCTTCCAGTAGGCAAATGCACAACTGCGGGCCAACCACGATGATCCCATCAGCCATCAGCCAGGAGCGTAAGGACACCATAGTATCACACTCGTCATCCCAATGATTTTTGGCTAAGTTCACCTGCACGGGCCGGCTGTAGAATGTCGAAGACACGGTGCACAGCTGCATGACCTAGAAACCATGTATCAGCTCATAGCTGCCGAGGCCAAGGCAGCCAGCACTGCAGGAACCAGGCTTCCAACAGACAGCAAGCCTCCGCCTCAGCGGAATTTCAAAAGATGTTCCAGCCCAGCACCCTGCCAAGTTGCTGAGGCCGCAACCTATGGTGAAATCACAGAACATTTTCCAGCAGGACGGAATCTTGTCTGGTGTCTTCGGCAGGCCGCCTTCCTGCTGGAGAGGACACAGGTTGTAGGATGACGGAGCATGACATGACTCTCCGAGTGAGTATCCGACTTCGAGTTCGGCTTGCATTGTGGAGACCGAGGATGATCAGGTTCAAGAGGACTGCCTTCAAATGCTCTGGTTAACAATTGAGCAGCTCCTCCAGCCTAGCAGCGCCCAGCAGCATAAATGACAGTAGGACCACGGTCTCAAGGGTATGGGGTCAACCAAAACCTTCCGGTTGCAGCTTGAGAGACACAGTGAGCCAGCAGTGCACATGTGCCGGTGGCTCGGCCATCTTATGACGGTTCTTGACATGAGCTATGAACACGACGGATGCTCCGAGGCCTTGCGAGAGTTGAGACTTGGGATAACCGAAGATCGCTCTGGGCATAGCATCGCCCACATCCCTCCCAACCGCTCATATGAGGGGTTCTCTGCCCTGCACCCGCCTCCCGACCTGCCTGCACCAATCTCAAAGACTGCAACCCCAGGGACTTACACACTCCACGATAGGATGTGGCGAGACGTGGCGTAAGATGCCTCTGCAGCCGGCCGCCAGATCAGCATGTCAAAACTACAGCATCTTGAGCCGAAGGTGCTGACATGCAAGACGCGCGGCGCTGAACTGACGCCAGCGATTCGTGTCATGTTAATCGCCTGTTCCGCATGCTGAAGCGTGTGGCCAGGCCTCTTAAGCCCCGTCTGGGGCAGCATGCGTGAGCACAGCGAAGGAGTTCTGACCAAACCGCCTGTCAATGTCAGAAGTGAAGGCTGTCCCGCTGTCTCCTCCCTTTTCACAGCTGAAGAGTCGAAGACCCCGGTTACCGCTCCTGAGCCAGCACTGGTCAAGAAGAATACATCGTATGAGAAATTCAGCCCCCAATAAATGCCTCCAAGACCAGAAACGAAGAACCCTAAACACCTGACGGTAGCTTCGGATTTCTGGACTGGGAGGGTTGTGCAGCAAATCGCCGAGATATCCGCTCGCTTGGTCGGGTTTGGGATTCCTACAGCAGATCGCCGAGTTTCGGAATTCCCGAAGGCAAGTAAGGGCATGGCCGGACTGCCCAAGAGGAAATGAAATTCAGAAATTCAGTTCCTGGATTTCTTGCTTCTCTGGTTTTTGGCTGGCCGCCAGGAAAATGCGAAATTCAGCTACTGGATTTCTTATTTTTCGGGTTCTTGACGAAGATCCAAACGTCTCTCGCATGCCGGGTGACTGCTGGCTCAAATTTATTTTCCAAAGCCTCGCCGTATGATGAAGTCATGGCGATTGAGGCCTACACTTCAACACCGGGCCGAATTTCAAGGAATAGCACTGGTGCTCACTCTGCCTGTGGAAAACAAACCGGCTTCTCATGCCGATGTTGTGTTCGGGGTCTCGCCTGGCATCTTAGTTGCATTCGTCGTCCATCTTGACAAAGTGTGCAGGTTTTGTGTGCGAAAGAAACCCAGCATCTCCAATTGTCAACACTGGCCCCGTCATGGCGTAGACACACGGGCAGTGCAGGACTGAGGCGAGGGCTCATCTCCTCTTCGGATGCTCTGAGGTCCGCCAGAAGCTCCTGTCTCCCGGCAACCGCCTTTCCATGACGGTCAAAAGGCAGATGGCGCCCCCGTCAAACTCCTTGACGATCTCATCCATCACCTCGACACTTGGTGATGGCGATTCGGCTTCGAGTGCAAGGACTCATTTAGGCAGCGCGCGAACTCGATCGCACAGGCGTTCTGAATCTCGGGTATGTGCCACCAAGTCTCCTTATGTGCCCGCTGACGATCAAATTGGGCTAGCAGCTAGACGGGCTAGACTTTCAGCTATTCAAAAAAGTCACCACAAAAGACTGCGCCAAGCTTCCCATTCAGAAGCCTTGGTGTAGGTGCGCAGGACCTCGTTGGTGGGATTCTTCAGCAACTTCGGAAACTCGAGGAGACCCCGGCCTCGAGACTCGAAACGGGCCCAAGCCGCACTGGAAGCACAAAGCGAGAAGACGCCGCTAAGCGCGCAGGCCATTGTAGATGGTGACATCACCCTGTGCAATTGACTTTGGGGATGGACAGAAGCAGCTCAACCGGCACAGTCTGACAAGCTCTAGCCCGTACCTCGTACTCCTGGCAGGTGGCCGGAAGGAAACAGCACCCAACGGATAACCTGATCGTGCCCTGCATCTTCCAGCAAGTCCTGAACCACGAGCGCGATCAAAGTGTTGCCGACAGGTCTTAGCCAAGGATGGCGACCACTTGCACCTCAAGCAGCTGCGGACACCCAGACCCCTGAACCAGCTGAGCAAGGCAAGTGAAAGGCCGCAACCTCGGAACAGTTCCAGCGTGCTCTGCAGATACTGCTTGATCTCGGTGGGCCATTGGTGAGATGTCTTGAAACAAGTTCTGTAGTGTAGTGTAGTTGGCAATACGGTAGCCATGCTCAGAGCCGGGAGGACTGTGTATGCATTGGGATACCCATGCATATCCGCAGCCATCTCGGCACTGAGGATGACAGAAAGACCGGACATGGACAGGGACAGCCTCACACAATACAATATCACACATCACGGTCGTGTCTTGCTGGCGAGGCTCCTCTCGCCGCAAGAACTGCGCCACGCGGAAGATGGGCCCCTTTTGGGAGCCGACCTCTCTTTTTAAACACAGCGCCACCACTTCAAGCGGAGGCAAAGATGCAGTGGGCTGAGCTGCAAACGCCGCCTCCGGTAAGCAGCATCGCCTGCTAAAGGCAGGGGTAGCAGGGGGCTGCGGGAGATCTACAAGCAGCGTTTCTGAGCCTGCGGGTTGACCTGGGAGACGATGAAGTAATTGACCTTGGCAAAAAGCGACGGCGCCGCAGTGTCGAAAAAGCGTAGCTGCAGCCGAAGGCTCGTTAAAAAGTTCAGCCAGTCGAGCCATCGGCAAATCCTGGAGACTGGGAATCGGCACATTCTCGGCGGCACTGGGTGGCACTGGCTCAGGAGCGCTCGGACTGCATCGATCCATCTTGCCACTTCAGGCCGCCTGCGACTGCGGAGAAATCGACACTTATGTTGCTGCGGTGTCATTCGTCACCAAAACAAACTTACAAGCTCGGAAGCCTGACACGTACGGAACGATTTCCCCGAAGCGGTCTTTGGCCAAGAGCTCGCGTGACCTGTGAAGCCCATGATTGGAGCAACGCTTGCTAGCACGAGGCGTAAGGTGCAAGGCCAACCACGGGGTCCGTGCTCGAAGATGCCGGGCACTGCCGCAGAGCACTGCGCGGCAGACCAAACCTCCAGAGTGAACGATACGAGACGATTTTCGTTTCCGAGCTGACCAGCAAGCAGCACACACCAGCTATAGCAGTTCGTAGACAGCAGCACCAGGCCACTTTTCGAGTCGCTGCCATGTTGCCCAGGCTTGCGGAGTGATTTTCAGCAGCTTCCGGCGGTGAGAAGCTGACATTTGGTCACGGTCATCGACTGCCTCAGTCGAGTTACGTAACAGAGACTCCTCCTCTGAAGCAACAAACTTCCAAATCATCAACACTGGTTGCCGGTGGCTGCGCTGGCAATAAAGTTGTGAAACTCATCCCGCCTCCTATCAAGGACGCACAGCTAGAAGAACACTTTCAAGCAAGGCGCGTTCAAGACCAGTTCGAGGTCACGAGGCCTCAGAAACATCGTACTCAAAGCTTCTTCTGCATTTTCTGCGTTGGAAGAGTTGTGCTTTCGGAGATGTCGAAAACAGACCTGCCGCTCCTTTACACCGGAAGACGTCATTTCCGACATTCGTGTCCTGAAGCTCGCACGCGGAGAACCAAAAGGACGCAGTGGAAAAGATCTCAAGATGTTCCGGAGTGCAAAGTCAAAGGGTGACGTCGTGCCCAAAGCTGCACTTCGAGGTGCGCGGTGCCGCGGTCTACGTCAAACGCTACGGGGCAAGTCGAACATTCAGCAGATTGTCGCCTTTGCCGCCTCTGGACAGGCAGAACCTGCCGCAAGGGTGCCGGTGCAGTCGTCAAAGCAGTGGCACAGTGGCCGCGAAAGCGAAGCTGTGGCGTACCCGAGTCTGCGACGCTTGCCGCTGCTGCACGCTGGAATCGAAACTAACAAGTGGCCGTCCCTCACTAAACAGATCATGTCAAACGTGCATATGGGGTCCTCAGGGTCCGTCGTCGTCGTAGTAGCAGCATCAGTAGCAGCACCACCGGGAGCAGGAGCAGGAGCGGCAACAGCAGCAACAGCTGCAGCTGTAGCGGTAGCTCAGTAGCAGTAGCGGAAGTAGGAGTAGGAGTAGTAGTAGTAGTAGTAGTAGTAGCAGTAGCAGTAGCAGTAGTAGTAGTAGTAGTAGTAGCAGCAGTAGTAATGGTAGTACTGGTAGTACTGGTAGCAGGACAGTAGGAGTAGGAGTAGCTGTCCTGGAAGCCAAGAAGCTCCAGACCCACGGCCGGCCTAGTTTATCCTTGCAGGGCTGGTTGGGAAGCAGTGCCTTTTCTTTGGCCCCAAGCAGCTACTGGATCACCACCTTTGAAATTTGGTATGGCCATTTTGGCGGATCCGCAACATCCAGCGTGATAATCATCTATCCTACCACGCGTGAGGCATTCGTTGACTGAGTCGGGAGCAGTGCGACGACAACATCAACGTGATCAGCTCCAGAGTGGAAAGCCAGTCGGCATCGGTGCAAGAAATTCCTTTAAGACGGGTCAGCGGCTGTCAGCTGGAACGTAAAGAGTCATGCACACTAGCATTGCGGTCCTTTGACACCACTGTAGTGTGGCATTGAATGTGGCAGCAGCTGTGTATTTCCCATCGCACACCTCAGACAAGAGGAGCCGCTGAGGGATCAGTCAATGCTGAAGATCCAAACTCGGTGATCAAAACAGTCGAGCTTGGACCACAAAAAAACCTGAAGCATTTTGACATTGAACGTGCCAAGTACGATGGGCCGAGACCTTGCCTGGCCATTGGGCCTGCGGCTTAGCTGTGTGCTGCCTCAGGCCTGCCTGTGATTATGTAATTGGAGAGCACGCAACAGGAAACGTTCTCTCCAGTCTCACTGTGTAGCCGATGGAGTGTTTTGTAACGCGACAGTCCCCCTCTTGATATTGGCATTACTAGATACTCCGGACAATGCCTCGAGCTGTGTTGAGAATTCAGTCACGTTGGCCAAATGAACACACTGCCAGTGAACAACTGGCACCATCCTTGTGACTGGAGCTGTTTTCCCAGCCTCCCCCCTGCCCTGACTCTCCCCTGCGTACTCCCCCTCCACTCTCCTGCCAAAGACGCCATCCCTGATAGATTTCTACCTTGAAGACTGGACGGGTTCTTCCAATCCGTCTAGACGATCCACAAGCACCACCTCCGTTCCGGCCGATGTTCTGCCGAAATACCGATACGTTTCTACCTGAAAGCTCCCTCCTCCCTGTACCCTACGCGGTTTTTCGTCTAGTCATACCTGACAGGGTGGTTCTCGGGCAGCGCTCAACCCCCGAGCCGAGCGCCGGCCCTGTTGCGTCCACTTGCAGGTGTAGCTTGCACGCCTTTTGGACGTACTTTTTAAGAGCACATTCTTGGTATTTTCAGTACTTTCGTGATGTTGCAGTCCAATACCAACGAGGATAATGATGGGTTTAGGCGCCAGTGCTTCGCTGCCCGTCCAAGCGAAGAAGTGTAAAATCGTCCTCCACGTAAAGTATTCCTAAACGCTTGCTTCATAATGTCCTCAAAACAACTGTACTACGCCCCATTCCAAGTGACCCCTCTCGAGGATTGCGCTCTTCCTTATAACTCGTCCCCCGAGCAAACATGTGCTGACACCAGTTTCGCGCACTTTTCAGCCTGCACAACAAAACACTCACATGCAAACCGTCAGGAGTCACTCGAGGGAATGTACCTTGTTTTGGCAGCAGTGCCTCTGACGCCGATCCTGCATCATGGGACCTGCGTTTTTCCATTGTCCATCTGCGGGCTCGCCTGGAGGCTCTCGTGGAAATTGCAGGTTTTCGCCCCGGGACCCGCTCGCAGCACCGACACGAGGTCCGAACATATGGTGGGTCATCCTTTTTGGGCATGCGGCATCGGGGGGGGGGGGGGGGGGGNNGGGGGCGCAAGCGCAAGTGCCGCATTACCCCCGTCCAGGGTTTCTTCGTTTCTGGCGTTCTCCGTCTGCTTCAATGTACAAGGTATACATATATATATACACATACACACATATAGGTATATATATATATATATACACACATAGTTCTACAGATGTGTGTGCATGTGCTATATTTACGGACAACACGTGACGTATGTCGGAATCTGACACTGGTACTGTATCCTTCCTAACACCAGGAATCACCAAAATCTGCTCGCCAAATCACAACCCCCCTCCAAGTATGGACGAGGAACAACTGCATGACCCAAATGAGCCGATTGTGTTCGAATCTGGTGACGTCTTCCGGTCCGTATGGAAAAAAGTAGCAAGCTCAACGCCTCGCATTTGCACTGTGGCAAATGAAGAAGTCGAGTGGAAAGCTTGAGCCGAGGCCTCTCCGTGTCGCGCACAGTGTGCCACGACCTTGAGATCCGTGACAGATGTCTTCCCTTGGGGCCCCACCTCAGACGTGGGAAAGAAACAGGGCTGGGGACAGGTCTGCCTCGTTCTGCATTCATTTCACTCGCCTGTGTTTGGTAACTAAACCCTGGGCCACTGAGCTGGTTGAGACGCCGGCCTTGCTCAGTGAAGACACTCGTCGATTCCAAAAGATGTTGACACCGATGTGTTGCAGATCCACCGGTGCCCAGCCATAGCACAACGACACCTCAGCGAGCAAGCTCAGACGCGCAAACGACTAGCCCGGCTTAGTGTCTGAGGCAGAACCCATGAACCATATCTCCGGGGCCAAGTGGCATATTCTCGCGCGAACGTTCCGGTGACCAGCTGTTGCTGCAGGTCCCAGAAGGCCTTGTAGGTCAATGTGCAGGTGACCAGTCCCGAGCTCGGGATGTCCAAACGATGAAGAAACCTCTGCGAAGCGCATCGCACGGAGACTGCGGAGACTGCCGCGTGGGCGCAGGGCTCTCGGCTCTAAGACTTTAAGCCCTGGTACCCTTTGGAGTGCTGCAGGTCCAGGAGGATGGGGTGACACCGCCCTTGAAAGAAGACCTGTCCACCGCTTCAAGTCCTTGAACGTCCAAGGGAGTGCAGGATCCTGCGCCTGCTGGTAGCTTGACAGCAGACAATTCTCGTCCTTCTCCAGCTGTTCACCTGATCCAGCGAGGCGACATAAGCGAGATCAATGGGTCAAACAGCTGGCGCGGCGCAACTGCTGGTGCAGCCTGCCTTCGGTGTCCACTTTCCAGCCGGCTGGCTTGTGAAGGACGACTAAGCCAGAAGCTTCCCAAGCAATTCCTGCCAAATTGAACGGCCTGTCTGCGCGTGACGCCGCCAGCAAAGCATAGCAAAGCATGCCAGAAACATCCTGGCTCGCAGGAAGAGATGATGCCGCTCCGAATCGCCCGACCGAAACATGCCTGGACATACACACATACCACATCGACATTTCCAATTGTCTGCATCAGAAAATTTCTTAAGCCTGCTGCTGCAACCGAGCAGCAAAGATGCTGGAACCACGCTCTGCATCAAGCTCGTCCTCGATTTCAGGGATTGTTTGCGACTAGTGACTAGTACTGTAGTTGACGCACATGCTGACTGCAGAGCTTCTGTCTAGCTGTATCGGTCGTGGACTTTCGTTACACTGAAAACTCTGCAAGTCCGGTCTGAGCCAAGTGTCACCAAAACCCTGGAAAGCTTTTTGGGCCTGCGCCCGTATTGGATCGGTCAAGATGCCGCTGAAACTCATTGCCCAAACCAATCTCCTTTTCTGCTGGGAAGCTTTTTGCAAGATATTTTGTCAGGTACACAGGATCTCGCGTGCCAGCATGGCCCCACTCCCTTCAGCCACATTCCGAGCCCTGGAATCTTCCCCCCGTGCTGGCGACGTGTCTCGAAAGCACATGGCATGGGATGTGTGACAAGAACAGAATACATATAAATCTATTAACCCCTGCCCATGCCAGCCTGCTGGTCTCGGACGCCCCGCGACGTTTTACTCCATTACAAGTGCGCTTCCACTAACCGCCGCAAATACATTTCCGACATTACAAACCCCATAACAAGTCCGAAATAAGCCGTTGTCTCCTGAGATAGTCAGCATGCTGCGTTATCGTGCTGGGCGAAGACTTTTGCTCATCCAAGCCCTGATGTAGCCGCGTCTGCACAGCCATGAACAAATCCTCGCAGGAGGCTAGGACCCTGTGGTTGCAGGAAACGTTGGGTGACCAGCACTCGTGTCAAGTCCTTGCTGAAGACGCTTTGGATTGCAAAGGACCACACCAGATCTGAGAAGCCTTGTTCGGTAAAGTCACCCAGCATGCTTGTCGATTTCCGCGCGATCTTATAGAACAGATCTGTTCTCGCAATGTTGGCCGTGGCCTCGGGGACGACAATCTGGGAGACAAAGGCGACTGAAACACATCTGTGCGTATTGAACACACGTGACTAGAACTCCATAAAGCTGCAAACGCCCAGGCAGTGTAGCCGAGGTCATAGGCAGTGAACGACTCCAGCCTGGGCTGGCAACACTCGGCTACACTTGCTGTTGCAAACTATTATGTTATATTGTATGTGCAAGCATGCCGCGCTACATCGTCAAAGTATGGTTCAGTGACGAACAGGCAGGAAGAACCTTTGCCTCTGAGCTAGGGAAATGCGGCTATATTAATTTCTTCAAACAATGCTGCATAGTTGGAGTGCTGCATGCTGATCGGGCTCTGCCATCAAGGCTCTGTTTCTCCACCTGCCGCGCAATAGCTGCAAAAGTGTCGACACAACGGATGGAAGCCCTCGCGAGCGAGTATGACAAGTTGGCGAGCTCCACCTGACAGGAGGCTGCAACCGGCCCCAACCAACAGAGAAGCCGTCAGTTGCATTAACTACGTAATGGAGCCTAGCTTGATTCATGCAAGCAGCAGGTTTGAAGTCCGCCATCTGCTCGGCAGAATAACGACAGAGCTCGCTCAAGAAGAACTCTTGCTCTTCATGTAGCCCCAGCTTGACGATGGACCACGCCAAATTCGACAGTTCGATAGGCTTGCATCTTGACACCGCTGCGCCGTCCGAAAGGAACGACTGGGTGAAGGACTGTAGCAGAGCTTTCTCTCGCACTTGTGTCTTGGCACAAGACCACATCAAATCCGCAAGGTCCTGGAGGCTCAGCGGCTGTCGCAGCTCTCGCACTGCCTGATTGGCCACTCCAGCAATGGCAGTGCTCTCAGAAGAGGCGCGAGCAAAGCACCATGTGAGTTGCACCAGGTCCTGCTATGCACGGCACGCAACGCACTTTACTTTAAGTCCAAGACAAAGGCGGCTCCTTGGAATTAAAGCGCGCCGGCGAGCTCTCAAATATGGCAGCAGCTGCTGCAAGCCACTCCGTGCAGGGCGCTTCTGCTGCAACCAATGCCCAGCTGAAGTTGCAAAGCTCCTTCTGGGCAGGTGGCAACCGGCTCTCGCACGCTTGCTTCCCGCTTTATTGCGATGCCTGGCTCATCCCGATTTCGTGACGCTGTGAAAACCTTGAGCTTCTTCTGTTGTTGGGCTTGATTTGCCTTTGCGAAACCCGAAATGCCGGTCTGAACATCACACTGTTCAACTGTGGGTCAAACTTCTGAGATCTCAGATGATCTCAGAGTCGCTGAGCTAAGCAGGGTTGTGCTGGCAACGAGCGTGAGTGCCACTGTCCAATACTGGCCGGTCAGGTGAGGTTACTGTCGGTCCTGTGGCTTGAACTGGCTTGCCTGTGTTTGTGCACTCGCCATCAGCCTCCTGAAGGTTTGCACCAATTCTCCTGAGCCAATAACTTGATTGATTGGAAGCACAAACGCATCTGCGCGGGGCAAGCATCCTCTTCGCGCTTTGGGGCATAATAATGACCCTGGTCTACTGCCTGGAATTGGCAGAAACAAACCCTCCCCCGTTCTCCCTTTGCACGAAGCCGTAGCATCAAGGGGCTTAGCTACAGCATCCTTCGAGTTGCCACCGCGCCTGACACTGCTCCCAGAGTGCTGAAGCAAAGCCCGTATCGACTGTAGATCTGGACCCGCGTAGACATGCGAAGATGCGACGACGGTAAAACAAATCATTCATCGATTCAACAAAAACAGCTGACAGTTGCATGTGCTTTGGTGATCTACCGTCGACGATAGGTAGGCAGAATCCTGCTTTATGCTGCCAACACAGTCTTAGCTGAACTTGAAGTAGCGCACCCCCGTCCAAGGCCGACGAGGGAAAACCCACGATTGCCCATAACAAACAGCCAAGTACAGCTCAGTCTCTTCGGGTCAGCACAGACGCCTCGGGGGCATCAGCCAGAGTTTCTTTCACCCAGCTCGACTGGACAAATTCCGGCGCAAGGCGCTGAAGCAAATGCCCAGGCGATGTTGGCCAACTCTTGACACTTGAACTTCTCAGCTCCCGCCGCAGCTGGCGATGCTAAGCTGATGGCCAAAGGTCGAGTCAACATGCCTGAGGATGGTAGCGGTCTCGAGTTCCCGCTGACGTGAGTCTTTGCAAGTATGTAACTGCAACCTTGCATGCTGAGAGGATGGATTGCAATGGCCGAGCATAGTTCGTGACGAGTGGCGAAGTGTGGCAAAAGACCAGGTCAAGTTGGAGAGTTCTCGCGCACCTCAGATGCTGGCATGGCCACGGGTCGCACCGATACACTACCATCACCACCCCGGCAAAAAAATCTTTCAGCGCCAGATCGCGGCATCGGTCGGCGAGCTCTTGGGCACGGTTTCCGAGTCTTTGGCAGGCCCAGACATCAGCCATCGCCAATGTCGCTGCAGACCAGATCACACTGGACCTCGCAGCACCATCGGGATTGGGCCTACATGGCCTCTGACTAGAGAGGGCCAGGGCTCTGGCAGGCCAGCGACGGACAACTCACTGCACTTCCCTGCTGCGGCGGCAAGCAAGGGCTGGGCCAGCCGACTGTGGAGCTTTAAAGCGGCACAGGACCACAGACTCTGGGCTAAGTCCTGGGTTCCCATCATCGGATGCAAGCAAGCTTCAGGCCGACCAGGTGTTCGTGCAAACGAGCCACAACGGCGCCGAACTCTGCAGAGACCTGACGAATTCAACAATGGATGCTGCCTGTTCTGCTGCTATTATTCACTCGTGTAAAGGATCATCAAAGCCCGGCCTTTGCCAACAGCTCAGTTGCCAAGGTTGCAGAGCTGGTAGAAAACTGCAGTCTTCCCAGAGCCCAAGCAGCATTTGCGATGTCCTGCTCAGCTGAAAACTTCAAGCAATTGCAGGCAGACTTGGCAAGACCCTCTGGTGCGGACCACTGCGGGTGGCACAGGACCGACTTCAATCCCGCCCCGGCTACGATAGCATCTTGAGTCTTGATTTGCAATTTCAGCCTGCAACAGCCTTGAAACAGCAAGAATCTGCTTGGAAATCAATTCTGTCCTCAGAGCTGACGGCAGGGAGCTAGCCACAGCTAGTTGCTTACAGTGTGATTGCAAGTCGTTATCAACATGCCAGACGCAAGCCTGCTTTCGGGTCGGTAGGCTTTTGTTTAGACACAACCGGAAGTTTGGAAACGCCACAGCGCGAACAGTGAGCGGACTGGGGCTCATCAACCCCGATCGTGACAAGGTCCAAACGTTTAACTGGGTGTTCGACTGGCATATTCGAGAGGTACGAAGCAGGAAAGAAATCTTGCGACGAAGATGCTTTTATAGCATGGACAAGCACTCGAGATCCAAGAAATGATCGGGCTGAGACCAGAGCCCCCAACATGTCGAACCGCATATTCTCGCATCAAGACTTAGTACCCTGAGCAGACCTGAGGATTGGCGGTCTTCATTCTCGTGAGCAATTGGATGCTGTGTTCAGCCAGTCTTTGTAGCCGTGCCTGGAGCACGACAGAATTGAGCGAGTATTGCGATCGCCGCCGCAATTTGAGCGAACATGCGCATGCTCTTCCAGCTTCGGAAGCTAAGACCCTTAAGTGCGATGCAGATGGTAACCGCAGATGCACTCGCGCGATGGACACTGTCAATCTGCTCAGAGTTCTGGCGTCGACCTGGCTCGATTGGGCACGAGGTATGAGGCATGTGCTCCATGGTCATAGCATGCTTGCGCCAGAGAAGAGCGTGGACGCGTGAAGCAATTCCAAAGCAGTGTCTTGGCCTCTGCTGCGTCGCGCAAAAGGCCTGTGGAAGATGCCGGCTCGGGCTCTTTCTAGCAGCCTCTAGCAACAGCTTGCAAATTGCGCCTTCCAGTGGATCTGCGAGCACGTCAATAGCTGCTCGGAGTTCATCCTCCGTGAGGGACTGGCTGACTTTGCCCAGCCGATGGAGCAGATTCAGAGCTCGTCCTTATGGCGGGAGGAGGTTCGCCAAGAAGCTAATTTTGGGCGTGGGCTTAAGCGGCTTATCTCAGAGCGAGGTTATAGAAACTTCTGGTTCCTCTTTCGAGTCGTCCGCCCATGCGCACTTGAAGAAGGACGCCTTGCGAGCCAGGCCATCTACGAAGCGGGTGCAATTATGCCCTGCGCCTGACATTTAGCCAGAGCACTCTGATCGGTGCTTCTCCGTGCAGTACCTCGTGTCTTTCCCGCGCCATAGCCAAAGACAACAGCCGGCCAAGCAACAAGCGACACCTGAGTTCCACAAACTTCAGTCTTGCATTAAAGCATGACCCGATGCTTGGGCTTCCCAAGCCTCCACAGTTTGCTCACCCGTGAATGAAAAGGCCCAGTGATCAAGGCACCCGGTGTGGTCCAGGATTTTGCTGCGCAGGCCCTGCGTGAAGGCCTCATGCTGCATTCTGTTCAAACGAATATAGCAGAAGGCAAGAGGCCATGATGGCCATGCTGTGCAAGTTGCAAGTAGTGATAGTGATAATAAGCGTCAAGGTGAGGAGCTGGGTCCCGACTTGATCCTGCTACGTGCTGGCAATAAAGCGTGGAGAGCCATGGCTCGCGGGGGAACGCAAGGCTTGAGACAAAGGCCGCAGCTGGGATGGAAGAAAAGCGTATAGCACTCACAGTGACGCAAAGTGACGCAGAAGCCCTGAAACGCGGAAAGGTTCCAGACCAGCACATGTGGGCTGGTCAAGTAGTTCAGCAGCATTGGGTACCTCAGAGCGGTTGCGCTGCGAAGTGAGGCGAAGCCCAGCGGCTCCGCCTCGTGTTGCCCGGGAGGCCACTCACCGTAATGTTGATGATGCGGCCGGTCCTGTTCGTCGCGTGCTTTCCCTTTTCTCGCTGTTGACTTAACTGTGCCTGTCCTGTCGAAGGCCTCCAGAAAAGTCAGATCACCCATGTTGTCCCTGCCACGCCGTCACGCCGTCATGCAGACCCCTCGCTCAATTCTCCGCTCCTGAGGATTCGCCCCAGGTGCTCGGACGAGTAAAGTTCCTGCCCTGTTTTCAGGAAGCGGCTCACGTCCTGCGAGGCACGGGCAAACACGGCAACAACGGCAATATGGCCACGAAGCTCAGAGCAGAAATAGCAGAAATCCATCTATGTCGGGGCTGCGTAGCGCCTTCTGGCCTTCACACTAAATTAGACTGCATGCGCTTGTCCAGGTCTCCGAAGAAATCCAAGCTGAAGTTCTGAGACCAGGAAAACGTATCCTGATGCCGACAGCCGACAGAAAGGCAATCCATCAGTCTATCTGCGTACGCTCTCAAATCTTGCGGAGCGACGTCCCACATCTCCATGAGTTCCTGGACAGTGTGCAAGCCCACAGACCCCCGGTCCAAATTGCAGTTGCATGCTTGCAACTTCTAAGACGGGGACTGCATCGGTCCTCACGCCAAGCATTCCACACCTTTAGGCATTTGGCCACACAACAGAACGCGTCGAAATACGGGCCTCCGTTTTCGAACAGATAGGTATTCTGAGATATCTGTTTGTCGTATATATATATATAGATATAGATAGCTTACTAAATAAAGATTGGATGAACGCGAAAAAAACTCTGGAATTGGAATTCTCGGAAAAGTTTACCATCAATTCAATTGCAAAGGACCTGAGGTGTCCAGCCGCGC